TACTTTGCACTTATACTCCTTGGATAGTGAATACGTTAATTATCAATCTTGAAACTTAGAATTTCATATACCACTGTCTTAGCATCCCAATACTTCTCTAAACTTTTAATAATCCCATCACACGAGAAAGATTAAAGGATAGAAAATTCCAAAAAAATATTTTTTAAATTCTCGTTTACTCCACAAATTAACATCCTCCTAAAAATATTAACACGCTTGATTGAACTTAATTTCTCATTTAATTTAATCTTTCTTTTCTCTTTGTTTGCAACTATCGATATTACGATTGCTCTGGTCCATATCCACGATAATGTACAGGGTGTTCCTCAAGAACGGGGGTGATTCCCATGTAAATGTAAAGAAAAATCGTTTCGTACAGTTTTCGAGAAAATCAAATTTCAATATTCCAATCGCTCTTTCTACTTGCTACATCCCCAGAAATTCTCCTACCACTCTTCTAGAAAATAAAAGGAGAAAAAGAAGAATCTCCGTTAAGATCCTGGACAGCCTTGGGGGAATCGCGAATGCTGGACGACGGAGAGAGGAGGGGGAATAAAAGAAGAAGATGAAGAGGAGTGTGTCTGTTTTAGAAGACCCGGTAGGATATTATCAAGGCCACCACCGGATGGGTACCTTCTTTAATGAGCTGACTACAGGTGTGCTGAACACTCGGTGGGCTCGGCTCACCGCTGCTAGTCGAATCCGTACGGTCCCTGCTCCTCTCGTTCGTGTAACCCTCGAAGGGATTGGTCATGGCGATTAGGGAGTTTACGATTTCCGGTGTCCTTGGTGTGACCTCGGCCGCCGCGACACCGAGAAGACCCGCGGCAGCCGGTGGACTAGGATTCACGTTCACGTTCAGGTTGTACATGGTCGGTTTAGATTACCATTTAACCTGGAACCAGAACAGAGATTAGGCGAGTTAGACATTGACGACGTGTGCAGATTGGTGCTAGTTCGTTGCTGGCTAATCAACTGTCTTGATTTACGGTACTTCTGCAGGTGAACTGGTAAAATGGGAACAGAGCTAATATTTGAGCTTTTGGTCATTTCAGTATTTCAGTTGTTATTTACGTTACTAGTATTTCGATATTTGAGTTAGTTAGATTACTAGTGTTTGAGTTGTTATTTAGATGACTTGATTTAGGTTGCTATTTAGATTACAATAGATTGCTTTCTTTCTGTATTAACGGATGTTTTAGTGGTGATTTAAAGTTATTATTATTGTTATACAGTTATTTTTAGTGATTTTGTGTTATATAGGGTGCTTAAAAAATCGTTAACACTTATATGGAGAGATAAAGTGGGAACAGAGCTAGTATACGAGTTTTCGTTTAGATTACTTGATTTAGATTGCTTTCTTTCTGTATTAACGGATGTTTTAGTGGTGATTTAAGATTGTTACTATTATTGTGTAATTATTTCTGGTAATTTTGCATAACACAGAGTGTTTACAAAGAACTGTTAACACTTAGTGAACAAGAGGCTGTTTGAAGACAAAACTATCAGTTCTGTTTCTCTAGAAAAGTTACTTTTACATAAGTGTTAACATTATTTCTCAAGCATACTATGTTAACAATTTCTGGTACCTTTGAGAATTTCATTGCAGAACGATGACATACAGATTTGGAAGAAATTCAAATTGGCAATGAATTTCGTTCGATTGGAACCGAGTAAACAATTATGATTTTGCAACATTTTATCGCGTTAAATTTATCGATGCTCGTTTATTGAAGATAAGTAACAGATTGCAGTGTTCAAGCTTGTGTTTTTTTTTAGTTTCGTTTATTTATAAGAGAACAGAAGGTTGTAATATTTGAGCTGTTGATAGTATCGAGCTTTTAGAGTTACTCGTTTGTTGGAAGTGAGCTGAAGGTTGTTGTATCCGAGCTTTCAAACTTGTTGCTTTATTGAAAATAAATACAAGGTCGTAATATTCGAGCTTTCAGTAAGATCCGAGCTTCTGAAGTTCTCTGGTTCACTTATCAAAAGTGAAGACGAAGTCGCGATATTTCAGTCAAGTTTCTCGATTGAGAAAATCATCTAATCGGATTGTATAATTAACCCTTTGCACTCGAGGACTTTTTTTCTATAAGGAAGTAGCAGAAATTGATGAAATTGTTTCAAACTAACGTAGAAATAAACTATACATATATTAACGAATATAACTATTTTACTTCAATATGTAACGTATCTCTATTAGAAGTTGGTTCTTTCAAACTGTTTCACTGCTCAGACCCCTATCATATAGTAAACAATTTATGGAGGTAAAATATCAGCTGTAAGAGTGCCTCCAATAATTATTTACCAAATGGTAAATATAATAGTAACGTCTCTTCTTAGTCGCCTCTCGCGTGCAAAGGGTTCAAAACTGTGGCCGGAACAGAATTTCTTCAAATTCAGAAAATTCCTCTTACATCTCGATGAGAAACGAGTAACAAAAATTCTATACATTTCGCTAGTTTTACCAGATGTAAGAGATGAAACAATTTCGTGGAACTGCTTCGATGAACTACCACCAGGACCATATCGCAGGATCTCGTGGCGTTAATGACTCTGTCCGTCGGTTAAATAATTATTTCCGTCGGGAACAAAGGGAAACCGAGCTTTTCTCACAGTCGATCGACGAACGAGCCCATCAATCTCGGTCTCGTGAAGTTATTCAACGGGGTAGAATTAAAAACAAAAAAAAAAGAAGAGAAGAAAAGAAAAACACAGTTTTTTTTCGGTCGCTTCCCGTTCCTGTTGGTTTATCTCTGATCGAACGTATCTCTAGAATGCACGGAATAGTTCTAGCTGATAAAACAGAAACGAAATCTCGCCAGTTTGCGGCCACGTTCTATCTGCGACTTCTTGAGAAATATTCGGAAGCGATACTGATTCTGCGACATCCTCCCACTGTGGTTTTCCCCGACCAGTAAATTAATTAGAAAGGATGAAATTGCAAAAAAAAAAAAACTATTAATTTAGGTACTATTTTCGAGACTTTTTGTTACTCCCGAGGGTTTCGTATGAGGATAAGTCGAGGAAAACTTTTAACATTTAATATCTAATTTATAAATCGTAACTGTACAAAAATTTATTACTATTTTTGTCGTTTCTGGGGAATCTGGAGTACAATTTTTAATTGTGATTCTTTTCTGAACGTGAAAATTAATGGGAAATTCAGACAGTGATTTAGAAGTGGGTTTTTTTTTTTGAGAATTCTTTAGAAATATTTTATAGTGATATTTTTTCGTATTTTTGGAGGGAGAATGTGTAAATTCCCAGAAAAGTGATTTGGAGTGTTAAGGTGCATGAGGATTGAAGGAAACGTGTCAATTTTATGATACATCGTTTAAAAAATGTGTATTTTCGAGATTTATGTCTGTAAACGTTCGAGTTTAGCAAACAATGCGGCCCACGGTGCAAACAGGTATCTCGAATTATCCTCGTGAGTCGTTGGACCCAATTCTGGATCTTATAATAATCTCTGAAACTCGAAATATAACGTACCAGAGTCTTCATTTTAACTGAATGAAATTGTTAGAAATTAATCTTAATGTATAATTAAGATTTAATTTTCAATCTTTAATTTTAATTAAATTGAATTGTTAAAAATAACGAATCTTAATGTAACATTAATTTAAAAACGAGTCTCAATCTTTAATCTTTAATTTTAATAATTTTTAATCATTGCAAACATATATTTGACATTCGAATGAAAACCGAACAAATTTTATCGAGAAATATTGTGAACTATTTCTAGCACGAAAAACCATTTGTTTCAATTAAATCCGAGTAGAAAGTGAAATTCTATATTTTCATTCAATTTTCGTATCTTTCCTTTTCATTTTGTGCAATTTACTGGTGAATTTGTAAGTAAACAGCGTTGAATGATATTTCAATGCTGATTTACCGGAGCTAACTGGATATCTATTCCCCTTATTGTGCATTCTTCTTTCCGGGGAATGAGAAGTTTATTGATACGGCCTTGAAAGCGTGGCTATTGAGCTCGAATCAATGCGGGAACAAAGAGGAATTCAGGCTGAATCGTGGAACGCTGATAACGAGAGGCCGGAAGCTGGTGATCGTTATCGATCAGCTGGAGTGTGACCATTCCCCCGATCGATTATCAAAACTCACAAGAGATTAATACAAACAAAGAGATTAATTTCGAATATTTCAATTAATAGATAAAGATACGTCAAACATAGAAAAGAACAATTCTAAATCCTTATTATTATTTCTAATTCAAAAAACAACAGTAATTTTCGAAAAATGCTATTTCTAATTTTTAAATGCCATTGTATCGAGTGTAAAAATGTTATCATATATCCACAAATGTATTGTAATAATATATTCAATTATCGAATAAACGTTATATTTCTAAAATTTAGTGAAAACTATTAAATTAAAAATATGCTCGTTAGATATTTTTAATATTTCATTTATGATGTTAGTATGAAAAATTAATATTATCGTTTTCATCAGTTAGCAGGAAACAATTGTACAAACATTGTATGAAATTATAATAATTAACATTGAAAAGTGAAATTATAAGTTTACAAGATCCCTGAAAATCATCGTACTTTTCTATAAACTATCATTACAATATTATAATACCTGAAAAAATCTCGAACACTTTCGAAACTTTATTAGAGCCACTTCCTAATGAAAAAAAAAAAAAATCAGAACACGAGGATTTTACGGTAATATAATTTACGGTATACTAAATGATGCATTGATTACACCCACATTCAATTAAAAATCACTTGAACATCGCGAGTTCCAAAATGGTGGTACGCGATCTACCCCAAATATGGAGGAAATCCACCACACTCTCGGCACGATGAATAAAAACCAGAGAACACCGACTCCAAACCTCCATCACACCCACGAGCATGTCAAAAAACGGTACCTCAGCCTTCCTTCACCACTCTACACCTCTCGCAGCTCCCAAAAGCTTGCTCCTTATATCCATTATCTCTCTCTTGCACACGCGCGCGAGAGAGAGAGGATCATCTTCCGGTAACCTTTCCAGAGGCAGAATGCTTGCGTAACCTGCTCGCGGATCGCAAAAATAATCACCAAGCATAATGGTCTCGCAGGACTCGTGAAAATCCGTTTCGGCAAGCATTGACTTCGTCTCAACTCGAAGAGAAAGAGAAAGAGGAGGAGGAGGAGAAAAAGAAGAAGAAGAAGAAGAAGCGGAAGAGGACACGACGCGTATACGTTAAAAGCTTGTCAAACTCCTGTCAAAAATACATTTCAACGTTGGAAACGTCTGGTCTTGTCCTCTAAAAAGAAACGTCGCGTCCTCCAGCAGAGGCTAGAAGGTTTGTTTTCGAGCGTCGAATTCTTCGACTCGCCTCGAAGTTGCTCAACCTCCTCCTCCTCTTCTCTTCTCCTCGCACAGAGGATCTCCCTCCTTTTGACTCTGCTCATTTTCTGCCCTCTCTTTTTTTTTTCTTTCTTTTTCGTTCGGTGAGAGTGCCAGCAACACAGTTCGATGCACGTGAGAGTGTATACGAGAGGGAGAGAAAAATGGAGAGGGAAGCGTGCGCGTTTCGTAAGAATTTTATCGTTCCGTATTCGGAGCCTAATGCCCTTGCAACTCCTCCTCCGTAGCCTTCTACGGTTTCTCCGCCTCCTACTCTTGTGCCCATGGTCGACCAAAAAATCGACTTCCTCGGACCGGATCTTTGGAGACCAAGGGAGAGAACAGAGTGGGACGGAGAACTACTGGAGAGGCATGTACCCACTGACCTATATGCCGCGCAGGAAGACGCGACTCAAGAGGATTTCTAGGGAGAAGCTTGAACCGACGCGGAGTTTGAGTAAATTTAACCCTTTCACATGTGTGCAATTTTTTTTTTTCGACTTTTATTTCGTAGTCGATATCTCATGAAATAA